GGTGCAGGGACTGACTGACCATTTGGAAACTGCCTGAGGGCCCGGGGTCAGTAGGGGGCCCCATGAGATGCCCCTGGTACTTTTTTCATAGGCATTTTTGAGTTTGGGCAAGGACACAGGGGCCCCATGATCCCCTATTGCCTGGGGGCCCCATGAGTTTTCAGTCCGCCCCTGTGCAGGTGGCAACCTAATAGCAGTCGATTCTCTGGCTGTATAATTGCCACACTCACTGTGCATGTGCTGCAAGTAGAACCAGAGAATCCGGTTCTCTCCAAGCTGGCCCATGTGGCTCTTGTTACTTCAGGGGCAGCTCCAACACAGACACTGACACACAAGAGTGTTTCCCTCCTCCCGCCACCTAATGTGGTCAAGCATTATCTAGTAGGGGCAGACCTGTCAGATGGCGTGTTCAGTGGCAGCATGTGACCACAACAGTACCAATAAGTGCTGTGTGTATGGGAAGACCCTATAACGTGTTCCTGTGCCCACACAACTCCAATTGGTGATGTTGTGGTCACATGCTACAAATGAACACGCCCTCAAGCAGATCCGTGGAGTGGCAGGGGGAGAGAGGTGTCCTGGAGTGACATTGAAAGCTTTGTCAAAGGATTTGTTATTGCTCCTCCTCCAGACTTCACAGTGCGGTGGGAAGTGACAAAGTAGAGTCATGTGACTGCAGTATGGGCACTCTGCAATAAGGCATTTGAGCAACTTCTTTTCCATTACAACTTATTTATAGCAATTCTTTATGAATAAAAAAGGAAGATCTATGTGAAAAATTTTAAGTGGGTTTAATGACACTTAGCATATAGCAGCAACTGGTAAGGTATAATGAAGGCATGAAGGTACAAAGAAGTAAAAAATAAAATGGCAAAACAAACATCAGGACTTTTGATTATCACTCATCTTGAAGCATAAAACCATGAACGGTTAGTAATCACTGAAGATCACAGTTAGCAGACCCTTCCTAGTAAAAACTGAATGAACACAATTACATAAACACAGTATTATCAATGTATTGGATCATATAAGAACATGACTCTCTGAAGCTGTAAAAATTATATACAGTAATTGTGACGGCATTAATACAATGAACAAAAGTATTTACCATGTAGAGCATGTAAAAAGTTAATAAATACGAAGCATACATTCAAAAGAATCCAGAGTAAAAATCTGCAATACATTAAAATTACCTTTAAAACATGTCCTTCACTGTTCACAATCACCATTGTAACTTGTACATTTCTTGCAACACTTTTGCCACCTTTTTCAAACTCGCCTTTTTCTATAGTGATGTATAAGTCATTCCTCATTTCACCTGTGATATACAAAATCACAACTTTCAAATTCCCAGTAAAATATCACTGCTTCTACATTCATTACAGACAGAAGTAATTGCACGGTTTTAGAATAGAGGTCTAGACTGACCAGTAGGAGTAGATATTGCCCAGCATTAGTGGTCAGTGGTAAAAAAAACAACCCTTGAGTTTGTATCAGTGTCAGGAATTGAGCCTCATCACTGGTGTTTATGGGAAGATTTTTTGCTTCATCTTTGGGGTCAGCAGAACAAATTCGTGACCTATCATTGGGGTCAGTGGAAAGAAATTTTGCCTGATCATTGGTATCAGTATAGTGCCCCATCAATAGTATCCATGGGGTAAATTTGTGCCCCATCATTAGGGTCAGTGGGACAAAACATGTGCCCCCTCGTTGGGGTCAGTGGGAAAAATATGTGCTTCATGCGTATGGTCAGTGAGAGAAATCGTGCCTCAGTTGTGGTTTGTTAAAGGCAGACAAAGGGTCGCATCCAGCACACATTCTGCAGTTTGGAAACCATGGGTGTAGAGCTTAGGAGGTAATACATAGCTCACGAATTACCATTTTTTAGAGAGATGGTTTACCTCTTGGAACAATTTTTTTTTTTTTCTCCCACAGTGTTCTTCTGTAGTTCGTGGTGTAGACTGTTAACTAATTTTACTATTTATTGAACTTTTTTTTCTCTATCATCCATTGAGACACACAACTTTATTTTTGATGTTATCCAATTAGGTAACCATTTTTGTAGCCATTGCTTCTTCTACAATGTCTCTGAGTTACCAGTGTTGTCATATAAGGAGCCCCATTTCATTTTAAGCAAAGACAAAGTTGTTTTGAGAACAAAGTCCTCCTTTTTGGCTATAGCAGTTGTGATATAACCAGTGGTTATATCACAACATTCGTTGTGTGCACCTCTGGTTCACCCCAAGAAGATATTGTATGACAGTATTGAGGGCCATCAGGGATTACCCATCAAACACTGTTTCATTCAGCCAGAAGCATTTCCAATTGATGTTTGATGATAGCATTATGAAGTGTATGCACCGCTTTCATTCACTAAAATAGGGGTGATACTTATATTTTTAGAAGCATTTCCTGTTTGTTATTCCAGAAGGCTCTAAAGATTCTCTGGCTTCCAGATGAATTATTTCTAAGTGGATTAAACAGGTTCTTGTGCATGCCTATGCATTGCAAGATAAAATACCTAATTTTACTGTTAAAGACTGCTACACCAGACCAGTGAGTACTTCTTGAATTTTCTGTTTCAGACTTCTGCCTCAGATCCATAAGCCTGCAAACTGGTCTTTTGTTCACATGTTCTTGAAGTTTTACAAGGTTGATGTATCTTCTTCTGCAGATGCTAGTTTCCAGATGAAAAGTTCTGCAAACAGCCATTTAATGCCCTTGTTTTTGCCTTGCTTCAGGTTTTTTTTTCTTGTTGGGCTGGTTCGCCTGTGTTGTTTTAGTATTTCCACCCCTCTGGACTGCTTTAGGATGTCCCTTGCTTGCTTATTTTACCTAAAGCTGTGATGCTTAATGGATAATCGTGTACATACTGTAAATCTCTTTCTCGGAGTCCCTTGAGAAACACAGCTCCTTTTCCTCATATGCTATCTTTCCACTTTGGACTACTTGCTACCACCGAGCAGATAGAAAGTAGTATAACCTCTAGCAGGCTGGCCTTCAATTTCTCTATGACTAGTGTCCATTTTTCCTCTAGGTGACAGTATAACCTCTAGACTGCTATTTAACCATAAAACTTTATCCTTAGAGAGAAAAGGATTTTACAGTCAGTATAAAAATGCTTTTTATCCTACATTTCACTTTTCACCCATCCTCTAAGAGCTTGCATTCACTCTGAAAAGCTAACATAAAAAAGCATAAAAGAAAAGCTTTTAAAACATTTTAGTTAATGTTAACTATTTTTTTTTTTTGGGGGGGGGGATTTTTCATATTCTATGTAATATGAGTGTGAGGTCCTTATCTCTCCTCACATTCCATATTTCTATAATGACGCAAAAGATGATTGGCAGACAACTAGTATTTTAAGAAAGAGGTAGGTTAGTGATGGTTGCCCACACATTTTTTATAAATGGCTTACTTTCAAGTATAACGAAGGCATTTTTTACATCTTTGGGCAGAACAGAAAGAGATTAGAACATCTGTCCAATTTTTATTGCTGTCTCTGCCACCGTTAGGGAGATTCACTCTCTCCATTTGACAAAGTTTACAGTTAACATTGAAAGAGAAACAAAATCCAATGTTTTGGGTTGCCCCCAGAACAGCGAAATGGAAATCTTTCAATGGGGACACCAATTCTGGTCACAACAATAGATCCCCTCTCACTTCCTGTTTTGGCTGTGGAACAGCAAATAAAAAGGGAATCCCCCCCAAAGGGACACAGGTGGCAAAAACAACCTGACAGGTGTTAATACCCTCCCCCCTACTCTATCCATAATGAAAAAAGTTCTGCCTTTAGTTCTGCTTTAAGCTTCAAGTAGTAGTATTTTTTTTGTAAATGTCAGTTTTCACTTAAAGTGAAACTCTATGTTTGTAAGAACAAAAAATAATCCCCCTGGGTAATCAATATACATTGCAATGTTGTTAACAAACTTTGTTGCAGAGTCCTACCCAATTCTGCTCTGAAAAAAACAGCATTTTGTCAGATCATATCTTGTGCAGGACTGATTCTGTATAGGAGTGACTGTAGAGGGTCTGCATTCATTTAGAAGTGAATAACTGTATAGGAGCATCTCCCCAAAACAGAATTGTTTGTGGCAGAGGATGCCTAAAATCTGATTTTATCTTTTTTGCAGACTTCTGGGAAAATCAGTGAGCCAATCATATAAGCAGGAAATTACATCTCTGGAGGCATTCTGTACACCAACTGTGTACAGAATGTCTTCAGGTTGCCATATTGTATTGAATTTTACAGAATATTACAGCACTGCAGATTAAAATAATATAATTGTAATGATGATACATTAAAATATGGTATCAAAATTGTATATGCTATATATTTTATTTTTTTTTTATTTTGTTTTCCTACAAAGTTACCCTTTAAGCCTTTACAAAATTGTACTTTTCTCTTTAAAAAATAATAGGTTACCTGGTCTTCATAAATTCACTATATATTCACCTCTCATTACCTTCCATATCGGTCTGTTTAGAACAACTATAAAAAGTCATCCCAGAAGAGTAGCTTTACTCTTCATTTTATGATGGTTTATGGCTGAAGAGATTGCAAATTCTCAATATATGTCACTCATCTAATGAGCTATATGCAGAATGCTCAGCTGACCGTGAGCACACAAATATTTATACTTTATAGCAACTAGAATTAAAGCTTCTTCATATTGGTGGCAGTTTGCTGAAGCAATACTGATTTTGAGAGAAAGTCTTCAAAAATGAATAAGGAGCAGAAACAGTTATTTGAACCTTTATATTTTCCCACAAAAATACATAACCTAAGTATGCAAGGCAAATGAGAAGCATAAATAATATTGGAAAAAACAACAGGCTAGTGTAGGGGGTGAATGCTAGCTGAAAAACAAAAACCAGAACAAATGAAATTTCTGTTTCTTTTTCTCCAGCTCACCAGGCATAATGACATCTGAAAAGCCAAGCTTTCTTGTTATCGAGACCCCACGAGTGAATACCGAGGAGTAATCTCTTCTAATTTGCTCAAGGTCTCCATGCAGCAGCTGAAGGGAAACTGCCAAGCCTGAAATCAAAGAATTTAAAGAGGCTCAGAAGTTACTCAGAAGATATTTTGAGGCTATTTACATCAGTGATACCTCAGTCAGCAACATTTTTTTTTTCAAAAAGTCAGAATTTGTAATGCGTAGACTGCCCTACCTGGATCTTTAGAGAAGGCTGTTCAGTCACCCTAGCAACTGGTCTTTTCCAGAATTGTACTGCATAAAACATAATATCCAGTACAGCACATCCAATTAAAGCTGAATTCCAGGAATTCAGCCAATCTGTAAACAGTGAAGACACTATAAATTAAGTCCAAGAAGATGCATGACATCTCCTGGGCTTATCTCTATTATTTAGATCTGACAATTGAATTGAACACCCCAGAGACAGCCATCACTGTATTTCCAGGAGAAAAATGTTGATCCTTCAGGTCTCAGCATCTTCAACATTAGAGTCAGTACATCTGCTATGCCTACCCCTCTTGTCCTGCTGCCCAATCACAGAAGCCTCTGTATTATGTGAACGCATTCACAAAATACAAAGGCTTCTCTGAATTGGCAGCAGAGGGGAGGGGCATAGCTGATCTGTGTACTTCTCTCCCCTCTCTTAGAGCCCCCATTGTCAGTGTATGCTCTGGCAAGGCCATAAACGATATATAAATAATAGAGATAGGTTTCGAAGATATCATGCACCTCAATGGACTTAACACAGTGTGCCTGAACGTTTTGAAAAGTGGCTTCATTTCTAGAATTCAGTTTTAAAGAAGAATTAACCCCCCCCCCCCTTATAGAGCCAAGGAAGCTGCCATCTTAGCCTATGTTTGATCTGCAGTTGCCATGGCTCTTCACATGTGATCAGTTACAACACCAGCAATTTGATGGCTTGAAAGTCCAGTTTAGAGCACAAGCAACTGTGACAGTTATTATTTATGGCATGCCTTGGAGGTAACGTTTTTTGGAAATCGTTAAATTGATGGGTTTAGTTTCACTCTAACCAAGACTTTCAATGCATGCTTGCCACAACTAACACTGTCAGTTTGTATTCCTTACAATTTTCGTTTGTTTTTTTTTTGTTTTACAGTATGGTTATTTTTTTATGCAGCTAGAAAAAGTACATATAAAAGTCAGTAACAAATGCTGCAGGCAATTTCTACTGAGAAAAGAAAATGAAAAAGAACTGTGGTTTATTGTCATGATTGATAAAATAGTAAATATGAGCCAGTTTGAATGACAAGTCTATTTATTGGTACATCTTTTCCTTTCCTGTTTTGAACACCACAACTCATCACATCACAACCCGCATACAATTCTTTTCATTAGACTTCTACATTTCATTCTGCAAAGTAACTTACATTTCCCGGCTGGTTAAAGTTTTGCAAAAAAAGAAAAAAAGTTTCACTTTATTTCAGCGTGCCGCAATTCCAAATATTCATATGATTTGTAAATAACCAGAACCACTGTCTACTCACACATTATTCTCACTCAGCATGATCACGCAGACAGTACCTAAGCAGAACATCAACAAATGAATCAACATATCTTCCAACATCTAAAGATAATTTTTTATTTGGTTATTATTTTGTACACTGGGCTCTCTCGTAATGACTGAAAGATGCGACGATTCATACAAGCAATGCATTATGCTATAGGAATAAAGTTAATAAGCATACTGCTGTTAGCCCAGTCAGTAACAGCAATGCCTCCAATTAGCAAATGAAGTCAAGCAGTGTTAGAAAACCACAAGGTGTCTGCACTTCTACTTGTAACCATAGGGACCTTTCTTAGACATGAACAGTTCACTTTGAAGTGTCCATATACAGGATGTGACTGAAAAAAGAAACATTTGTAGTGCAGTCATGTGACAAGCTCACTGCGTGTTGAGCAACAACATTCATAGCAATCCACAGATGTGCACAGAACAGTCCTATTGGCTATAATGCCACACATGTAATTGAGCATTTTGGGTGCAGAATTTACCTGCCCCAAAAGTAGAATAGTGTGAAACCAGTAACTCTTAGAGCAGGGAGTCATCCTCAAACAAATCAAGTAAAGGTAAATAAAGGGGTAAATGTGAATCTTTCATAGACAAGCCGGCAGAAGTATGTCTAAGGAGACCATTTGTAAAGCAGCAATATGGTCTAAATACAGCCAGAGCTACTTTTCTTAAAAGCCCATCTCCAGCACGTCTGGAAAGCACTGCTTTATAAATGTGGTGTGTACTTCAGAACTCTTAGGCCCCATTCACATGCAGTGGCTTGCGCTCGGATGAGCACACAGATCCCCTGCTGATCAGAGAAGAGTGGGCAAATGACACATCTGTGTCAGCTCAGTTTCTGCAGAGGGGACACAGAAAGAGCCCACTTTGCTCTATGGGCGGCCTAGAGTAAACAGACTCTACTGTCTGTTTACACCCAACTACCCTCCGATCCACCTAAATGGAAAAGGGTGGGTGCCCTTCTGTTTTTCTTTTTTTTCTTTCTTAAAGCATTTTCAACTTGTTGTGGGAGAGCACACGGTAGCTTGTTATCCCATGGTTCCAAGCATTTCCCCTGGATCAACGCTGCAACAGTTGTTGCTGCAGCAGCTGCTAAGAGCAATGTAAATCAGCCATACTTCCTCCATGCACATTCCCTCAAAATGTCACTACAGAAAAATCATCCTGATTGGCTAAAACCAAAAATTCACAAACACATGTAAAAAGAGCTTAAATGCGCAAAAAAGCAAGAAAAACAATGAAGGACTGAAACGGATAGATGTGAACAGGCCCCAAAGCAAGTGAAGCCCCACTCATTCTAACAAATAAGGAAAAAAAAATGAGCCATGGGAAGGAAGTCACACAACTGGTTTCAGGCCAGCCAACAAGCCTCCTGTCCACAAGAGTCCTCTGCAGCACTTTATAGAACACATACTGAAAGACATAGGGGTTCATTTACTAAAGGCAAGTGGTCTGCGCACTGCGAGTGCAGTTGTTCTAGATCTGGGGGGAACATGCAAGGAAAATTTAAAAACAAAACAAAAACAAAACCCAGCAATTTTGCTTGCACGATTGGATGATAGAAATCAGCAGAGTTTTCAGGAATTTCAGAGCTTCCCCTCAGTCTAGCGCAATTGCACTTGCAGTGCGCAGACTATTTAACTTTAGTAAATAAACCCCATAGATCACTCCATATTAAGCTTTAATTTAGGCCTTGTTCACACAAGGCTTGCCAATGCTTGCCTTGTGTGAGGGCCGTGTTTAACCGAATGCTGATGCACAGGTGTTCTGTACATCCCCATGCAGACAATCCCACTGATGTCAAATGGGACACAATCGCTGCATGGCTACTGCTCCAAATCTGACATCAATGGGACTGCTCGCATGGGGATGCACAGAACACTTGTGCATCACCACGCGGGTAAACATGGCCCTCACACAAGGCAAGCATTGATACGCCCAGGGTGAAAAAGGTCCTTAATAAAAAGAAAAAACATGTTAGCAATGTGGAGTCCTTCCAATAAAGTTTAAATGGGCCCCACTACTACTACATGGTTTGCTTGATTACACAATAACAAGCAAATGCACCATTTCACCTACATAAGTAAGGCCTTTCTATCTTAGCCTTTAATACTATCTGGATATCACATTGTGATGAACAAGCTGTGTTCATTTTACTCTATGTCTCGGTTCATCGATCGCTTCTCTTATAAAGCAACTACTGTATGATTCACTTTCAGATTTCCCAAACACAGAAAATTGTTTAACAAACCTAAAGCTCAGTAACGGTCTCCTAAATTGATTATCACTAGCAGTGTTCAAATCATTTGCCACTCTAGCAAACAGGGTGCCTTGCATTTCCAGCTTACTAACATCGACAATGTTAGAAAAGGAAAGTATCATTTATTTTGCTAACTTTAAGTTAACATGTTGCTTTGGATCATTAATTATTATTAATAATCTAGTTGATAAGCTACTAATTGTCATTGGGTGGTGCTTGCATTATTTGCATAAAACATTAATATATAATATGTACAAACTGACAGCATCCCAACAGCTAGTGACTGTAAACAAAAGGAGCCGTCATTAAAATGTATTTATTTTGGGTCTGGTAGGGATTTTAAGGGGGGCCTCACGCCAGATTCAGATAAGCCTCCCGCCCGCAGACCCCCACAACCAAGCCAAGGTTGTGGGGAAGATATCTTTGTCCTCATCAACACAGGACAAACACTACACCCTTCACCCACCCCCCTGCCATGTTAAAATGCAGGTGGCCCAGTATGGTTTAGGGGGGGGTTGCATGTTCTCCCCTCTTTCTGGCCTGCTAGGCTGCATGCTCAGATAAGGGTCTGGTATGGATTTTAGGGGGAGCCCACCCCATTTTTAATTTTCTGGCATTTTTGGCATGAGGTCCCCCTTAAATTCCCTATCAGACCCAAAATAAATAAATAATTTTTAATGAAATTTCCTTAGTTTACAGTCACTGGTTGTTAGGATGCAGTCAGTTTGTAAACATTATATATTAATAATTTAAACCCAAAAGCCTGGTATGCATTGTGGGGAACCCCACACCATTTTTTAAAAATATTTTTCTTTGACGGCTCTTTTGTTTCCATTTTGGGAAAGCGTGGATGAGTCACTGGTTGTTAGGATGCCAGTGAGTGCCAGCTCCTTGACAACCAGCATCTGAGAACAAATTGACTCATGACTCAAAAACTACACTAGAAACACACCAAAAACACAGCGTGACGTGTATTTGATGTGTGTCTATTGACTTAATTTTCATGCACGTCTGTCATGCTGGAAAGGTGTGTTTTAGCGTGGCAAAAGTGAATCCATGATACTCAAAACTGAGCTAATATGAAAGATCAGATTTGACAAGTTTGATGGAAGTCTGTGTATAATTGACTAAATCGGACAGTCACATTAGAGCTAGGAAGGAGAGAAAGCTGGCATTTTGTTCTTTTCTGAGTTGATCAGCTTTAAAGCGCAACTAATGGCATGAATACATACATAAGTTCCAATGGTCTGATGGCCAAGAGTCCTCTT